AACCTCTTCTATAGAAGAGGTTCCACAAATCTACCGTGCCGTTTAGAACCGGTTCCAGCTCCCTCCCCCCACCTGTCCACACATCATCAAGATGAAGAGCAACAAGTCTTAAAGCTGTCAGGTTACAAGACCCTTGTACCCCTAACCCTTTAGAAAAAAAAAACCCAGGAGTGTTCAAACTTGACAGCTTTAAGACTTGTTGCTCTTCATCTTGATGATGTGTGGACAGGTGGGGGGAGGGAGCTGGAACCGGTTCTAAACGGCACGGTAGATTTGTGGAACCTCTTCTATAGAAGAGGTTAGAACTGGCAGGAACCCACCCCTGGTCCAACCTTTACAGCCATACATTGCAACTGGGAAAACCATAATCTTGACTATACGCACTTTTGTTGGCAGGGTGATGTCTCTGCTTTTTAGTATGCTGTCTAGATCTGCCATAGCTTTTTTGGAGCCCAGGACTATAGCAATTGACAAACTCAATTGGATTATCAAGAACCACCGCATTAGTGAAAATCTGATCCAGCTGCTCTGATTCAAGCTCTTTAGATGATGTCCATGGCTTTGATGTTTTATCTTGCCCCAGAGGGCAGGACTGGAGCCAGTGCATAGAAGCTTTAAGGAAGCAGAGCACAGGTCAAATGTGGATGGCGTTTCAATTGATGAGGGCTGCTTAGCCCTCAAGATATGTTCAAATTTTGTTTGCTGGAGTATTTCAGCACAAGAGCAGAGACAGGTAACTTGTGGCCCTTCGGGAGTTTTTGAACTACAATTCCCTGCATTTTGATTCTCCATTCTGCAATGCAGACATAGTAGATCTGGAGGATCCAGCCTGAAGCATATTTAAAGATTTCTAATAAATATGGAACAAGGAGAATATATAATAATATGGGGATGACATTATTAAGGACTTATCTCCAGCATGTTGTAATAATTTTAGGTGAATGGCTTTTTCTTTGCTTAAAAACCCCATTTGCTATTAAAAAGAGGGGAGGGTCTTAACGGTACACTAGCTTAGCAAAGCATGACGTATAGAAACCGACAGCAATTGATCAATTCGGGCCGTCTGCCACTGTTTTTCCTGCCTTGCAGTTAATGGATGCTGTCTATAGATGGCGCTAGTAGACGGCCAATTTACTTCCTTCTAATAATGCGGGATACCATTTACAAATTAAGGATTGAAAAAGCTCAACCCAAGAGTTTTTCCTTTTAAAAGGGTTTTTTTTTTTAAAAGTTTGCTATGGATCTAGTAAACACTCCAGCCTACACAATTCTTTCGGGGCTGTCTTGGGATTTGAAATTCACACATTTTAAAGTTGTTCAAGTTGTGAAACCCTGCTCTAGAGTATGTGGCAGTGCCCAGAAATCACCTACCTCTGATTATGGCAGTCCTATATAATTTGCAGAGACGGATATGTTGACAAGGGCAGGAATTGTTACATTACAGGAATCTCCAAACTGAGAGTTCTTTTTTTAAAAAAGATTTTTATTAACAAACATGTAAAATACAAACACACACAAATTAGACGTACACCACATTTATACAATACAGTGCGAACAGGAACTTCCTGTTTTTTATCTTAGCAATCATCAATCGATATCGCTCACATTATATTATTTCCCCCTTCTATCGTATTTCATTTAGATTTCACCATTCTTAACCCTCTTATTTTACTCATATTATTTTTTTGAGTTTTGTTATATTCCTTCATTGATTCTTGTTTCTTTCCTCAATCCACCTATACCATTTATCCCATAATTGGTAGAATTCTGATTCTTCTTTTCCCTGGAT